ACTCAGTTCCTACTTCAGTCACCTCTACAGCTCTAAGCAAACTAAACATCTTCTACTAAGTCTTCTACTCAAGGTAACATGAACTTCCTTGTACCTTTCATCACATCTCCAAGGTCTGCCATTGCGCTACATTCATACTAGTGAAATACCTGCAAAATATGGCAGAAGTATGTACCAGAAGCCTCTTTGCACTTGCTACTCTGTTGATGAGCCTCCAATTTGCCAAATGACGTTGCACACCCAAGCTTCACCCATACAAAACACAACAGATACTGTCACAGGCTCTCCCTATTTCCACGTATGAGCATTGATCTTCATCACGAGCATTCAAGACAAAGGAGATAAAAGATCGAGTAGTATTCACACTGTGCAGACTCCAGAGGGAGAGGAAAGCATTCGGACTTTCAATAGTGTGATTCGGCGAGCAGGCTGCCGCTTTCCCTTGGCCTTCCCAATTCGTCGATTCACACGGGGTACCCCAAATATGGCAGGAGGTCACAAGGTCAGGGATTCGAATTGGGCACACCTCTTGTTATGGTGTGATCTGACCACGACTCCCGTCGGGATCAAAACATTCTCACGACCTAATCACCATATATGGCTGGGGACGAGACTAGGTAGGAGGCTGCATGCTCAGACATATTATACAAACAATTCAAAATGAGGGCTCAGGCTGTATGAGAGGCACTGCCAGGACTCGAACCTGGGTTTCGAGAATGCATGATTGATCACAACATCGAAATCAGAATCTCGAGTGATAACCTCTACACTACAGCGCCATGAAATAATGCACACCCCAGATTCCTAATCAAAAAAGAACATCTTACAGATATACTCAAATACAACAAGAAAATGAGTTCTAGACTAGTACTACCATACTGAACATATCTATATCCTCACATGCGCCATGCGCATACAAGTCCGCTTCACATTCCGCTCCTTCGCGACCCGCTCGACCATCGCGCGCGAGATGACCACCGTGCGCTGCGCCGCGTCCCCGGCGTCCGCTTCGGCGTCAGCGAAGCGGCGCATGAGCAGCCCGACCTCGTTGAGCGCGAACGCCGCGTCCTCGAGGCGCAGGTTCGTTGCGCGCGCGATATCCCCGAGCTTGCAGCGCACCGTGACGTGCGTGACTGCCGCGCCGTCGTCATTGAGCTCGGTTTCGAAGAGGCGGTCCGTCGTGAAGATTGGGTCTGTGTGTAGTGAGTTAGTATATTCGCAAAAGACAAAAGACTGGGCTGGGAGGCGAAGGGAGGGGGGGGAGGACGAAATGAAAAAAAGAGACAGACACACCGTCGAGATACACAAACGGGATATCGGCCGAATCGGGCATAACCTCCTCGACCTCGCCCGCCCAGCCCTTGGTCTTTTTCTTCTTCCGGGGTGGTGCGGTACTGCCGTTCCCATTCCCGTAGGCACTCCCGTTCCCGCTGGTATTCCCGTCCTGCAGTGCGTGGTGGTCGTCCGAGTCGCCAGAGGGGGAGCGCACGAGGCCGGGGAAGGCGCCTGCGGAGGTGATCTTGGGGATGTCGGGTGGGAGGGCGGTGAGGACGTGTCTGGTGGGGCATGTGAATGTGAGTGTCAGAAGGGAGGGAGGAAGACTTACCGGAAGAAACGCACGAGGGTGGACACCCAGTATGCGAGGTAGCTGCGGAGTCCGAGGTCGGAGAGCGGGCGTTCGGGGGTGCCGATTACGCCGGCGCGGCGGGAGAGCTCGTAGCCTATGTATGAGAATGTCAGAGCTTTTGCTTTACTGGCAATACAAGATGTAAGAACTAACTGAATTCGATCATGAGCATGCCGTAGCCCTTACGCTGGTATGGCGGGAGGGTCATGATACACGCGAGGTTGTAGTCGTCGTAGGAGACTTTCTCCTGCACGTGGAGAATTGCTTGTTATCGTTAGCGCGGTTGGTGAACTGGGATCGCACCTTGGAGAAAAACCCGAGCATGTGGTCCTGCTTTGAGGTGCTTTCGGTAAGTATGTAGAAAAGGACTGGGGATCCGAGGCACGTCAGATCTTCGTGTAGAGAGAGGGTAGAGGAGCCAGCGCACAGCCCTCGCAGTCGAAGAAGAGTGTTTTAACATCGATGAAGAGTTTTCCAAATAGTGAGAGGTTCTGGCAATATAGCTGTAAACCTTATTAGCACAGAAGAGGCGAATGGAGAGAAAAGAACCTCCACCTTCTCCTTTGCGCCGTCAACCTCCCAGATCGTGTGCGCGCCACGTTGGTATACGTTCTTCCCCGGCGGATAGTCAACATTACAATACCTCTACACACATCATTCAGCATTCAGCACTGAGCATCAACCGCAGCTTGTACACGTACCAAATGTAGGTCGTACGAGTTCCCATCGGCCATGTACTTGAAGCACTGCTGGCACACCCATAGCGAGGCTTTTTCGCCGCCGGCATAGTTCCGTCCGAGCCCACCAGCCAGCAGGTCCGACGTACGCCCATGCGAGCGCGGCGTGGCCTTGCTCACGCCCGGGATTTTAGACCCGGCCAATGCGGACGGCGCGGGCGGAGGCTCATCGAGCTCGGTCTCAGTCAGCGGGTACGGCGAGAAGTACCTATGTGTTTTGCACAACCGATCAGTTTTGCCAACTGGAGACAGGTGTTGCTGAACAGACGCACCATGTCTTGACCTGCCACTCGCCGAAGAAGACCTTGTCGAAATTGCGTTGCGCGGTGATTTTCTTGTGCGCCTCGATGTCAAAGTCCTCCTCTGTCATAATGACTTCGCGCTGCGTGTCTTGTTGCGTGGAGGCTGGTGTGGGCTGCGATGGCCCTGCATGCTGTTCCTGTTCTTCAGATATGGATCCCTGGCGCGTGGGCCGGCCGCGTTTTCGTCTCTTCGACCCCGACTCGTTTACGTCTGCACCGAGTGCCATGGACGCGTCGCTGTCGCTGTCCGAGTCGTCTGCTTGAGTATCGCTAGTGCCCTGGTTTGCCGCGACAGAAAGCGCAGAGTCTGGGATCCACTCGTCGAGGCGCTTGTCGGTGCCGACGTAGTGGACGTAGGCCTGGCCGGCGCTGCGCTGGAGTATGTGGGCGTGGTCTGTGGAGGTTCACTGATATTAGAAGCGCTGTCATGGCTATAGCGGAGAAAAGCCGGCCTCGACGCCTCGTGCATCAGATTAAGATAAGGTGCGAATCCGAAGGCGAGGCTCAAGGATTTTTTAAAAGAGAGAAGCTTACGCAGGATGCCATTTTTTGTGACCGAGTAGGTTGTCTGGTCGGGCAGGGCGACGACATGGATTGAGGGCATGATTAGCGCGTGCTCAATCGAGCGCGGCGGTGTTTCATGATAGTCACGCTTGGCGCTCAGAATGCAACGGACGCTGAACCTGGCATATTCATTTTCGCTGGCATATGGGTGCATAATAGAGTACCAAAGGGGCCACGCAGGCGCCCGTGCATATATGTAGAGGCTTTGCGGCGAGACGATGAATCGTGATGAGGATCATAGCAATGCAAGGGAAGAAAAAAGAGTAAACAACGGTAGATATCTACTCCTTGGCAGCCTCCTGCTCCACATTGATAATCGCCTGGCGCTTCTCCTGGATCCGCGCAGCACGACGTTCCCGGGCAGCCTATCGATGGGTGAGGATGTGTGTAAAAAGTCCAAAAGTCGAGGCACAAACCTTGTTCTTGATGCGGCGGGCCTCCATCTGGTCGGTGAGGACCTTGGTGCGGTTTTTCTCGGCCTTGGCCTTGTGAATGTACTCCATAAGCACACGCTTGTTCTTGAAGACGTTACCCTTGGATTTTTGGTAAAGCGAGTGGTAGCTATTCGAATCGCATCAGATCAACATATAGCCCGCTCCCAAACGCAACAATACGCACAGGTGCTTGTCGATCTTGCCCGCCTCTCTGTACTTCCTCAACAGCCGTCTGAGGACTCTCTGCCGTCTCATCCAGAGCACCTTCGTGGGCATACGGGCCTCAGAGGTACCCTTCCTCTTACCAGGGCCAGTGTGGCGACCCTTGCGCTTGGCTGCGAGAAGAGCCCTTGTGCGGGCACGCGAGTGGACAGTGGTGGGCTTGATGATGACACGGCCGTCCTTGATGAGCTTCTTGACGTGTGTGCGGGAGTTGGCGTTGCCGATCTCGGCCTGCTCAGCGGGGTCGAGCCAGATTTTGCGTTTGCCAACGCCGGCGACGCTCGCGGCGAGGCGCTTTTGCGACCGGAGGTTGACTAGATTGGAGGGGAAATTTTTTCGTTAGTTTCGGGATGGGATTTGCGACATGAAGCTGGGACGAACCCATCTTGAGTGTTGGGTCTAAAAGATAAGGGTTAGTGTCGAAATTGGACTGACGGCGAGCAGGACTTGCCTTGGTCTTGAGGTTATCGTCGATACCGTCCACCCAAACCACAATTCCCCGTGTCGCACTCTTACGTAAGACAGCCACTGAAACCTTAATCTTTGGAACTGTACAAGTCCATCACTTCCATCATCAGTTCCCGGTCCGCTTGGTCCATCCATACGTCATCTCTGCATCCCGCCATGGCCCAACTTTGCAAAAGAGAGATATCTTAGTCTAATCTGGTGGCTTTGCAATCTGACCTGAAGTAAAATCACGACAGCCTATTATACTATCATCATGTCTTCGTCGTCGACTTCTGCCAATATGCCTGTGGTCAACTCAGTCGCTCCGATGTATCAGGATGATCTCTTCCCATCCACACCACTACTAAACCCATTCTTAGCGCTCACTAATACGGAAAGTGAAATCGATGCGAATACACGGCCTCAAAATTTGCTAAGCGGAATACTCCACCCGCTAAGAAACCGACGGTTGGAACGAGTCTACGATCTTCCTGCAAGGGAGGCCACCTACTTTGACTACTACGACTTTGCCCTAGATCCACTTCGCGAAGCGCAACGGACGGGAGACATCAGCGAGGCACTGGAACACATTCCTTTCGTTCTCAATTTTTCAATGACTTGGCTGGCGACGGTCTACAACCTCGAGCTCAGCCATGCGTCAAACGAGATCCTCTATCTAGGGGGCGATAAAGAATGGATGACAAGATCTTGCTTCACCAGCGGGACTGTCGATGGTTTTCCCATCTACTTGTACACGGATCCCCTCTACCGCCATGCTGCGAGGCAGGGCATAGCGAGACGAGATATGGATCTTGGTAATTTTGAATGGCCCGACGATGCTTCGGATACTGTCGACGTGCTAGATCTGGCGGCGTTGATTTCCATGGCGCAGTGCACCATGAATTATAAAGTCCCCAGGGATAAGATCAATAACACATACACCGTGAATCTATCTCATAATTATATAAATATGTGTGTTGATGGTAATTCAAAGGTCCATACTCTCTACCCATCCTCCGATTGTAAGAGGATGATCGCAGTGACATCCGAAATCCCACATGATACTGCCTTTGCAATCCACGAAGGACATCCAGAGCTATCATCACAGAAGATAAAGGTTTTCCGAGACACGTTCGACATCAAGATTGATAACGATGAGTGGGGGAGTAACGAATTTTTCCAAGTTCTCGGAGGATTTTTCAAGCAGGGAGTTGAGCTTGCAAAGATAACACCGTACCTTTCTAACTGAAAACATATGACAATGTAGTACTTTTCTGGAGTCCTGTATTTTTCTGTCATGTGTACCAAATCTTCTTAGAGTGTTGTGAGTAGGTGGGGCTTGGGATAATAATTTTGAGTGAGGGTCTACGTAGTGTACCTAGCATCATGCATTGTGTGGATCGTCGAGGCCTCCAGGAACCCCCAGTAGCCAAGCCCATCCCCACA